TCTTTAGGGAGGAATTGGACTTTCTTGCCGCTGAAAATCCAACTCGTTTTCGTGTTTGGTACACTGTTGACCGCTCTCCTGGCGAGCATTGGATTTATTCTGAAGGATTTGTTAATGAGCAAATGATTGCTGAACACTTGCCTATTCAAAATGTTGGTTCGGCTGTTTTGATGTGCGGGCCTCCTCCAATGGTGAAGAATTTTTTAATTTTTTTTTAATAAATTAAAATTATTTTTTAAAGATTAATTATGCATGCAACCCGGCCTTGGACAAATTAAATTTCCCTGTGGAAAATCGTTTTGTCTTCTAAGCTGATTTTTTCTTGCTTATCTATATTATTTGCTTAATCTCATAGTGGAAAGAAGTTGAATTTTAAATTTAAATATAAAAATAAAATTGACCTTAAATAGTTTTTTTGAGTAAATTTTTTATTTAAATATTTTGGTTGTTCACGACCGATTATTTGACGGTATTTCCGATTTTAGGTTTTAGAATCGGTCTTGAACAGCCCTCATTATTAAACATAGTATAAGGAATATATTCATTTCTTTTTATAATTTCTCCCGTTGACTTTTTCAATGCTAAATATTTTATAAAAAATAAATATTTTTGATTACTCTATATATTTTTGTATAAGATTCTGAAATTTATTTGGTGCATAAATTGTTGCAGAAAATTGTTTTCAAAAAAATTTTTTTTAATTGAGAAGAGGAAATAAAAAAAGGGAATTAATTATAACTTTGTTTATGGTTAATTTAAATTTTATTAAATTTAGAGAGTTGTTGATTATTTCACGCAAATGGTTTTTTGTCTTTTTAAACTTTTTTTGACAAATTGATAATTTCCTTTATTTAAAGAAAAAAATAAATTTTTTTTCAAAGAAAATTTTTAAATGAATTATTTAACAAATTAATTTCTTATTGATAAATCAAAATTTAATTTCAATCAAATTTAAAATTTAAAATTTACTATTAAAATTAATTTTTTTGTTTTAATTATTTAAAATGCTAATTCTAAAAGTATTCAAAATTATTAAAAAATATTTTTATAAGAAATATTTTATAAAAAATATGTACATATCCTTATAAAAGATTACCATGTTTTTCTAATATAAAATAATATTAAACATTGGACTATGTCCTATTTAATAATTTTCCCATAAACATTCATCCTTTTTAATCAGTAAGTAATACAAACAAACAATGGCGGAAAAGTCTTAACTGAAGGTTTACAAAATTTATATACTAAATTAAGCCCTAATTTTGTCAAAAATTCCATTAAAGAAATATTCTGTGTGAAATTTAAATTAAATTAAATAAAAACACTCAAAAATACTCTTTAAAATAGCCCCAATTATATTTTAATGTTCTCCACCACTTTTTTCTTAATATTTATTTTAAATTAATTAATCAATTAAAAATTTACAAAATTCCTTTCAATGTTTTTCTTTCTAAATATAAATTATTTTCATTGAAAACCTCTCTCTTTTCTTAACCAAAAATAATTATTTTTTCTTTTATCAAATAGTAATTCCCATAATTTTTTGTTGTTTATTTCCCCGATTTTATATATTCTTTATAAATCAACTCACCATAATTCCATGTGCTCTTCGCTCTTTAAACCTTAAAAATATATTTATTTAAAGGTAATGGGAAAATACTTTTTTTTATTTAATAAAAAAGTATTTATTTCTCTAAAAACCTCCCAAGTTATATTCTTTTTATTTTCTGCAAAAATTTTGTATGCTTTCATTAATTAATCAAAATTTTCAAAACTTTAAATAATTTCTTTTTAATTTTCCTAAAAATCAAGTAAATTATTTTTCTATTTAAAGAGGGATTGAGGGGGCATTTATATCTACTTTAAATATTTAATTGTTAAATTTTAGTTGTTTTTTAATTTAAAAAAATGTAGTCTATTTAAATATATTTTCTATTTTTACTATTTTACAGTTTTTATCTACTTTAAAATAAAAATATTTATTTATTTACAAACAATTTTTACAAAAAAAACTTTTATTTATCAACGACAAACAAATTCTTTATTTCTTCTCTATCCCCATTTGCAGATTTTAAAAATAAATGAATTTTTTGTCTATTTAAATACATAATAGTGTAAATTTAACTTTTTTGGAGTATTTACAAAAATTATTTTTGTAAAATAAAAAAGAAAAAGAACATCTGCAGCCACTTCTTAATTTTATTGCAGTACAAAGAATAGAAACTAACAAAAATAAAAAATGAAAAAAAAGATTAAGAATTATTTTTGGTTTGCTAATATATAAACATTATTTTTTGCTAAAAACTTTTGCTGGATCAAACAGTCTAGAAAAATTATTTTTTTTTAAATATGGGGACAGAGTTACTTAATTTCTTTATAAATTAAAGACAAAAACAAAGATTAAAGAATATTTTTAGATAAATTTTTGTTTAGAATTTATTTTCTTATTTTTTTAAAAGTTTAATTAATAGAAAATTTAGAATTATTTCCCATTTTTATTTTTTAATTATAAAGTCTGTTTCTCTAAAATAAAATTCTTAAAATTTTGGAAAATATTTCCTTTCAAAAAATATTTTAATTATTAACATTTATTTATTTAGCTAAATAAAAAAATGGATATACATACAGTCGTGGAAAAAAGTATGGAAGCGCTAGAAAATTTTTCCTTAATTCTTAATTTTTCATTCAAAAAATACGTTCTATATACCAATCGAAAGCTCTATTCGTATCTCAGTTGACATGTTTCTGCGTTTTTTATGAAAATGAAAATTGGCCGAGATAATCCGGATCTACCGGATATACCAAATCCCATTTTTTCGGAAAAATTTTGTGGATAAAATTTAACAAACCCATTTGATAGAGCATATTTTTTTGAGTATTTTCCACAAAACCGCTTAGAGATATCTTTTTCCCGAGCAGAGATATGATTTTTTGAAAATGGCATTTTTCCCTTAAAAATTGAATTTTTTGCAAAAATAGACGAAAAATGCGATTTTTAAAAAATCATATCTCCGTTCCGGAAAAAGATATCTCTAAGCGGTTTTGTGGAAAATACTCAAAAAAATATGCTCTATCAAATGGGTTTGTTAAATTTTATCCACAAAATTTTTCCGAAAAAATGGGATTTGGTATATCCGGTAGATCCGGATTATCTCGGCCAATTTTCATTTTCATAAAAAACGCAGAAACATGTCAACTGAGATACGAATAGAGCTTTCGATTGCTATATAGAACGTAATTTTTGAATGAAAAATTAAGAATTAAGAAAAAATTTTCTAGCGCTTCCATACTTTTTTCCACGACTGTATTTTGTCTGTTTATAACAGGAAATTACGAAATTCCTTTTTTTCCTCCTCATTTTAACACACAAAGAACGAATATATGCAAAGAATGTTATTCTCTCTCATTTCTAAATATTCAAAAACCTTTTATTTTTTAATTTATTTTCTTTTTCCTTTTTAAAAATTCTTTAAATTTTGTAATATAAACTTTTATAATAGTTGAAAAACATTAAATATTTTTGGAATTTATATTTTATTTTTTTAATTACAAATTAAATTAAATTGAGGAATATATGAATTCCAAAAAGTTTATCCAGTCTCTCTCTGTTATACAGGGTGGGGCAAAAGTTCGGCGACAAATTTTATTTTGTCCTTTCTTAAAAATTACTTTGTATTTTGCTTTTTGTTTAGATTTCCCATATTCTATGATTCGCGCTCTACAAATTTTATCTTGAAAATTTTTTCCTATCTCATAAAGTAAAAATTTTACAGAATGTTAAATAATCGTGCTTCTATTATTTCTTTGTATTTTAAAAATGTTCGAAAATGTGACATCGCTAGACGGCTAGATATCTGTAATATGTTGGTTTCCAAAGCAATAAAACGATATCATGAGCTTGGAAATACTCAGGACCGTCCTAGTAGTGGCCGGCCTTTAACTGCAGTTACGCCTGAAAACATGAATGTGGTCAAATGCCGAATTCGCCGTTTTTCTGAACAATCGATGTGAAAATTTCATTCTTCCCCTTCCCCCTCATCCCCCACATGTCTAAATATTAAATAAATATTAAAAAATTTCAAAATATTTTTTAAAACAAAACACATACAAAGGATTAAGGGATTTTTAATGACGTCAACAAAAAAAGAAGAATGTCAGCCCACGGAAGAGCATGTGAGGGGGTTAACACGTTGTCTTTTACAAAATATATAAGGGGGAAGGTTATTTTAATATATATAAATTTATTTTTGTGTGTCCCACCCCCCCCCCCTCCCCCTCCTTACCTAAATTTCTTTTAATTTTTATGTCATCCAAATAAATTAATTTTTTTAAAAACAATTTCCTTCTTTTTTAATATAAAATAAAAAATTTTTATTTCCTATAAACAACAAAATATGTATGCGGAACAATTTTTTATTTAAGGCCATAAAAGTGCAGTAAAAATGTACTAGTTTTTATTTAAAAATTTATTTTTTTAATTAAAAATTTTTGTATTTAACTTTTTCATAAAAAAATTTTTTTTAATTAATTTAATCACTAAAAATATATGTATTTTTCTTTTTATTTTGAAATAGGGAAAAGGAGAGAGAGAGAAATCACAAATTATTTTACAGAATTATTTGAACAATTTCTCGTGAATAAGAGCAAGGAATTCCTTTTTATTTTTTTTGACAAAAATAAATAAAAGAGAAATATTTTTTAAATAAATTTTTGATCAAAGTTTAAAATAAATAGAAACAAAAAATATTTTGTTTTTTCAAATTTAAAGAGACAATTTTCAAGAATAACCTATGCAAATAAATATTCTAAAAATAAACTTTAATTAATTACTTTTTATTTTGTTTTTCTCTTTCTTTTTTTATGCTTTTTTAAATTTCCTCAAAATTGTTTTAAAATATTTTTCTTTTATTTTAAAATTTTAAATATGTATTTAATTATTTTTTAGTTAATTCTTTACAAAATCACAAAAAAATTTATTTTTTTTTCTTCAAAATTAATTAATGACAGCAACAACATCATCATCAACATCTTCACCACCAACTTTCCTTGATGGAATATTTCGAAATCGCCATTCGCGTGGTGAATGTATTAGCCCTTTAGAATTAGAAGCAATTGTTGCTGTTCAACAATTTGCTGTTTTTGTTGAAAGTATTGCTGTCTCCGAAATGGTAAAAAATAAAAATAATAAATTCCAAAATTATTTTTTAATTTAGTTGCCGAGAACTCCCGAACTTATTTTTGTTAATTTAACAACATTAGAAGGTATTTAAATAATTAAAAATTAATTTAAATTTTTTAAAGGCCAGCCACATTGTTTAGAATTAACAAGTAAAGGTTGGAGGGTTACTTCTCTCCGAACAGATTGTATGCATGGAGACTTTACAAAAATGGAAATGTTTACAAATTATTATAATTCTTTTAATGAATTAATGAATTTTATTTCACCTAAATATCAAAATTTAAAAGAAAATGAGGAGGAGGAATATATTAATAATAATAATGTTGGTTTTGTTTAATTATAGTCCAAATCTATATTTTTAATTTTCCCTTTTGTAATTCAAAAATTCTGATTTTATTTTTTTAATTTTCAGAATTTTCATCACAATTCAACAGAATGTTCAAGTAATTCAATAAGTGATTCAGAAGAATTATTTAGCAGCAATAATAGTTTGTAATAACAATAACAATATTTGTTTGACTTTTTTCAAAAATATTAAATTGTAAAGAAAAGAAAAAAGAAGAATTTATTTTTAGCTTTTAAAAATGTTTTTAATTTTTTTTTGTTATTAAAACAGACTTTTTTATTAAAGGATTTTTTTGATTTTTAAAGAGAAAAAATAATTTAATTTTTAAAAATCCTTTAAAATTTTTTTAAATATTCCAAATATCACTTCAATTAATTTTATACTTAAAAAATCCTTTTCCCAATTTTGGGATATATATTTTGTATTCATTTTTTGATGTTTAAAATAAATAAATTAAATTAATTTGCAAATTTTTAAATAATTAATTTCATTTTTAAAAATTATCCAACAAACACTTTTCCATCAGATGATTTTTTTCATTTAATTTAAAAAAAATTAAAAATTTTTTTTTCTGTTTACTTTTCTGATAAAATTTCTAAAAATAAATTTATTTAAGAGACACACTTTTTTTAATCTTTCTGAAAAATTTTTTTTTAATTTTTAAGACTTTTTTTAATCTACAAAATTTAATTTCCTTATTTTATTTAAATAAACTAACTATTGCCTTTTTTAAAAAAATATCAATAAATATATATTTGTGTGTGTGCCGGGAATGTTTATTTTATTTGGATGTTCTCTCTCTCTTTAAATTATGGCTTTTTCTTTTTTTGAAAAAAAATTTCTTTTTTTTTTATTTTAACACTTTTCTATATAATTAATGTTGGCATTTTTGTTTTTATAATTTTTTTCTTTTTCTTTTTAAAAAATATATATTCTTCTACTATATCCCTTCTCAATGTTTGCCAAGTATAAATTAATTATTTATTTCATTGGCTGGCATTTTCCTTAACGATGAGAGAAAGAGAGAGAGGGGAAAAGCTTTTTATTTAAATATTAATATTTCTTTCACAATTTTTAAAACAAAAATACATATATTTATTTTAAATATTTTTTAATTATTAAAAAATAAATTAATAATTTTTATTTTAAATTAAATGCCAAGATATATTTAAAACAAAATATTTATGTTTAAAATTAAAGAGAGTATTTAATTAATAATTAATTATTATTTAATTTTAATTTAAATAATAATTTCTCTACATAAAAATATTTTTTTTATTATTTTCAATTTTATCTTTAAAATTATCGTAGCATAAAAAACTTGAAAAAATCAGGTGGCGCTATATTAATTTATTATCATCAGATTGATAATTTTGTTTATTAGATTCTCCATTTACCTATTCATAATAACCTTTAATTCTTTTAGAAATTTTAACGATTCTGGCAAACTCTGTCTATATTTACATATATACTCTATTTTTAAGCAAAAAAGGAAATGATTACTAATAATAATATAAATTCTTTATTAAAAACCAATGGAGACAATTCAATTTATTGTTTAAATCCCCTAACTTTATTTAATATTCAAAAAGCCCAACAAACAGATTTAAATGAAATTTTAGAATTTATTTTTGCCGATTTTCTTTTCACAGAACCATTAAATAATTCTTTGGGATTAACACGTTTTGAATCTGAAAAATTCTTTGAAAGTTTGTTTAATTTTTTAAATAGTAAATCAGTCATTAACTGAAATTTATAGTAAAAAATACACAATAAACTTTTAAGTAATTTAACTTTTACTTTTAACTTTTAAAATTGGTACTTTTTAAACATTATATAGAAAATTGAAATTAATTTTTAAAAAATTTAAAATATAATTTAAAGTCCTTAAAATAACTAAATTTTATTTAAAAAAATAATTTTTAAAGGTTTGGTTACAATTTCATTGAAAAAAGGTTTAAGTTATTTAGTTAAAGACCCAAATTCAAATAATAAATTAATTGCAATTCGTTTAACTTCAATTATTAAAAGAAATAAAAAACAAGAAAATGGAGAAATAAACGGAGTAATGAATGAATCTAATTTGTATGCCAAAGAATCGTTAAATGTACAGAAAATTATTGGAATTTTAAATGCTGTTGAATCTAAGGTTTTTTTTTGAAATAATTTTAAGGAGAATATGTATGTAGGTATATTTTTGGAAGTTTTTAAATAAAATAAAGGGAAGGGACGGAATTGAGGATTGAATTGGAGGATGTAGGGGGGGGGGAGAGGAGGGGTATATATTATTCCGAGAAATCTCTCAATATCCTCATTTATTCTGTAAAATTAAAGCTAGTTTTGTATTAGATAAAAGTTGAGAGAAATTTAGCTCACGAGGATTTAACCTTTGATTCGGTTAACTTGAAGATAAAAATAACCCTAAAAATATAATTTTTAAAGACATGGGATTTAGTGCCTTCAACAATAAATTGTTTAGCTTCTTGGCTAATAATTTCAGTCAGTAGTGAGTATAAACGAAGAGGAATTGCTGAAGCCCTTTTAAATTATAATTTAGAGGAAATGGAGAAATTTGGATGTCAAGGATTAATTGCAGAAGCCAGTGCTTTTAATTCACAAAAAGTTTTTTTTAATTTAAAAAAAATTAAAAAATTATTTTAAAAAAGTTATTTCAAAAAATGGGATATTCTAGACTTTTTGAAATTAAACATTCTGATTGGAAAGGTGAAGATGGAAAACAAATATTTAATTGTAAAGACGGAACAGACAAAATAACCCTTGAATTTAAACAATTTACTAAAAATGTTAAAGAATTTATTTAAATTTTTGTTAATTAGTAAAAGAAGGAAAATGTGTTAATATATATGTAGTATATGTAGTATATGTAGATATTGTATACATATTAGGAGTCTCTCAAAATCGGGCAGGGAATTTATTTTTTATGTCGGCTAGACCCCTAATATATAAAATTATTAAAAAAAATTTTTTTTGAATATACATATACCTATGTATGTATTTATTATTTAAATTCAGAATAAATTTAACTCATTGTCAGTTAGAAGGAATTTATTTATTAAACACAAAAAATAAAGCAAAATATTTATTCAATTCTTTTATTTACAAATTCTAATTTAATAAAATAATAAATTGTTTACGAAAGGCATTTTTTTGGATTTTTTGGAATATTTTTTTAATTCTAAAATTAAAAGAATTACAAAATTGAAAGGATTTATTACTTGATACAAGTAAAAATATTTTATTTTTAAGTAAAAGAAAATTAGGTAGTATATATATATAATTCTGCCAAATAATTATTAAATTTATTTTAAAAAATTATTTAAAAAAAATTTTGGCAGAAATATATTTTTATTTATTTATTTTTGCCTATGAGGTGGGTTTTGTTGGATTTTTAATTAAAAAAAGAAATTAAAATTAATTAATTTTTTGTTAAAATATATTTACAATTAAAAGAAAATATTAATTAAAATATTAAAAAATTGCTTTAATCGCAACAGCCAAAAAAGAAAGAATTTGACAAAAGAATTGTTTTAAAGAAAGAAAAAAGAGAGAAAATTATTTTTTGGATTTTTATAAATTATGAGATTTTTTTTAATTTTTAATTTTCTCCATTATAATAGTTTTTTTGTCTATTATATTTTTTTAAAAAGAGAAGAAAGAGAATTTTTAAAATACAAAAATAAAGAAAATGCTAATTCGATTTTTCTTAAAAATTATTATTAAGGTAGTTGTTAATAATAGTTGACTGAAAAATATATTTTTATGTACAAAATTATGTTGAGTAGTAAAGTTAAAATTCGAATTAAAATAAGGAATTAAAAAATAAAAGCAAAAATTCGACTAAAGTGTTGATCAGAATAATTGATCGAATATATTGTGTTTATGTTAGTATGTATATTTCTTTTTTTAATTGACTGATTTTTTTCTATAAAAATTAAATTTCAATCTAAAATCTAAAAAAAAGAAATATATTTTAAAATATGTATATACAAAAGCCAATCCCTATTTAATTAAAAGTTATACTCAAAATTATTCTAATTCAAATCTCCCCCTATTTATTTCCCTCCTCTCCCCCTCCTTCTTTAAGCACAATTCCAAATTTGACTAGACACTTTTCATTTAACTGTTCCAATTCAGCAAATCTCAAAATTAATTGTTCAGAATCAGTTAAAGAACCCGAAAAGAGTAATTCATTATCCAAACATTCAATTCGATCATTTAATGCTCCAAGTAAAGATTTTATTTGAGACCAACCAACAGGGCGGGGACGTTGTTGTTTGTAGAGATAAAGCCAAGCAGTTCCATACTCGAGAATATGTAAAGCCTTTAAAAATAAAAAAAATATTTTGAGAAAATAAATGCTCAAATACGGGGTAATTATTGTTTAAACCTCTCATTGGAGAGGGTAATTAATCGAGGAAAGGACAATTATCTGAAAGAGAGAAAGAGGGTAAAATCTAAATATATTACAGTCTTTCGCAATATTCCAAAACGACGTTCAGATTGAGAATCTCCAGAAATAAGACGGCGAACGTGCTTTCCAAGTTGCCAATTTAACCGTATATCCATTCTTCGTGTTCTAGCCTCAATACATAAATCAGCAAATTGTCCAGTAATTTGTTGGGGTAAATTAGTTGTTTGTTGTCCTTTGGTTTTTGGTTGGTTTGGAACTAATTGATCTTTAATTTAACGAATTTTATGTCTCAAAAAATTAATTTTCAAACCATTCTCTGTAGGTCTTAATCGTTTATTCCAATCAAAATATTGAGAACAATTTAAAGGCCAATGAGGCTCTTCCCCGCAATTTTTACACCAATAAAGAGAACATTTAGTACAAATTAAATGCCCAAATTTATTTTCATTTTCTTCTTCTATTTCCAAAATTGTTTTACAATTTGGACATTCAGATAATTGAATAAAATTATTTTTATTCTGATTAATTTCTGCTTGATATAATAAACAAATAGCATTGACGATTGGTAGAGAAAATAACCAAAAAAGAATGTCCAATGGAAGAGGAGAATTTACACAAAGCTAAAATTGAAGAATACATAAATTAAATTTTTTGTTTTAAATAAATTAGGATTGTCCGAAATTATCCGGACGGAAGGAAAGGCTATCAGTATTTCGATCTGTTATTGTTTATAAAAAATCACCGGGCAATGAAGATTTGCTGATCCCCCAATTAATTGTTGTTTTAAATTATTAGTTAAACATTCCCGACAAATTCTATGTCCACAAGAAGGAAGCATTGCCAAAGAAGGATTATTTTTATTATGGCAACAACAACAAAGTTGAGGTAAAGAAGAATTGAGTATTTGTTTTTGTTCTTTTTGTTGTTCATTATTTAATAATTCATTTATATCTATAAATTCAAAAGCCTCCTCTTCTTCATCTTCATCCTCCTCCTCTTCTCCCTCAATCATTTTATTTACAATTTTAGGTAACAACTCTTCAGTCCAAACAAATTGACTTTCATCCCTTCCAAATTCTTCCCTTTGCAATGTCAAAATTGAAAGAACAGAAATTGGTTTAGGGGTTATGGCAAGTCGGGGAGAATGAAAAACTGCACGTAAATTCTCCAAAGAATTGGGTAATTGAAAACGTTGTTGCTCTATTTCCCATCTTTAAAACAAAATTTTTATTTTTTATTTTAATTAAAAAAATTGTCTCTCTCTTTTAAAGAGAGAAAAATACTTTCAAAGTTTTTAATTTTTCTTTAAAAAAATAAAAAAAAGGCAACAAACTCAGCAAAGTCAGCCCTAACATTTTCTAACAAATTTTTGACAATTTGATCAAAAGTTGTATTATTTTCTTTAATAAAAACATTTTGTAATTTACATTTATTCAAAGGAATTAAAGAATTAATAAATATTTGGGAAGGGCTAATAATCTTTAAAAATAAATATTTTCTTTTTAATTTTTTTATTTAAACAAACCAAAACAAATAATTGATTATTATTTGGAGAAATTTTTGTTTTAATTTCCAATAAAGAAGTTAAATTAATTAATAAAAGGTTATCACCCAACCATTGGGGGTGAAATTGGGGAAAAGTTTTTTCAGAAAAATTTTGTAAAAAATTTGTAGAAATTGAAAAATAATGTAAATAATTGTTGGAAATTGTTTGTTGTTGATTAATTTGTTGGCGAAGAAAATTAATTATTTGATTGTTGATATTAGTAGATAATGAAGAAGGAGGTGGTGGAGGTTGAGATAAAAGCTGAAAATGAGTGAAGGGAAAGATAAAAAAATAAATAATTGTTTTTATTAAATACAAAAAATATTTTTAAATTTTAAGGAAATAATGCCCGTTCGAGGAAGAAAACGGAAGACGAAAGGGGAAATGCCAAAAAAGATGGAAATCCCATCCCCAGTATAAACCGCATTATCAAAGAGATAACAGGCTCCTGATTTACTAAACTTGGTAATTCCAAGCCTTCCCCCACCCCTTTTTTCTTTACAAAACTCTTAAATATTCACTCGATTATTTTCATTATTATTATCAACATTAGGTAACTCAACATCATCAGGTAATTCAACAAATTCCATTTGAGGCACAATTGTATATTGCCCATCTTCCGTATCTTCAAAACAATTTAAGGCAGAATTTTTAGAATTAATTGAAGAAGAAGGACATTTATTTCTTCGAGATTGTTGGCCACGACGAATAATTAAAGGAGAAGAAGATGAGGAATTTTTATTATTTTTAATAAAATCAGCCAAAGAATAAGTTTCCCTTTTTGGACTAAATAAATATGTTTTTTTCTTAGAAATTATTTTTTTCCAAACCGATATTGGGCAATAAATTCATTTTCTTCTTCAGGTTCACTTTCAGGAACAATTAATTTAGTATTTTTAGAAGGATTATTAGAAGAGATGGAAGAAATTGTAGATACTTCCATTACAGATTTTGTACATGAACGAAAAGTTTTCCTTCCTTCAGAAAAAAATATTTTTCTAAAAAAATATTTTTTTAAAAACTTGTAAATATTTTCCCAGCAAAAACTCTTGAAAGAAGATTTGGTTTAGTTAAATGAAAATTAATTTGTTGTTTTTTGGGTATTTCATTCTCTTCTAAATTTTCCTCTTCATCTACTACTTTTTTTAAATCAGCTAAAAGAGCTCCTCTTTTACTTTTTGACATTTTTGTTTGTAAATACCCACTTTCAGCATCAAAACTATGTAAAGCTTTTACCTTTAGAAATTAAAAAAACATTCACTTTTCAAATAAATTTAATTTACAGATTCATTCCCAGTCATCGAATAATTAGTTTCTGCTATACAAAAACGTAATTTTTGTCCATCAGAACCTCCAGACAAATCAGAGAGCCAATCAACACCGTCTTTCATCCAACGGCTCTTTCGATTCAAAGAATAAGGCACTGAAAATAAATAATAAAAATTAGAAGAGAAAATTAACTGATATTTTATTAATTTTCAAATAAAAAAATTAATTGACATTCAAATATTTGAAAAAATTTTCCGAGTTTTTAGAGATTTTATAAAGAAGAAATTTAAAAAAAACTAATAATTAATGATTCTGAAAGTATAGCAACAAATACTAGGTGTTTAAAGAAGGTGGAGGTTAGGGTTGTTGGTATCAAACAGAAACAAAACTAAAAACCGAAGATTTTTTAGTTCGGTTTTGAGGAGATTTGAAGACGTGAATGTAAAAAGTCAAATTCTTTTTAAAATTTCTCACCACTTGGTGCAAATTGTTCGGCCATCAACTCGGAAAGGACACGTCCTCTACGGCGATGGCCTCCCCAGCCGCCGACAGAGTTACTCTTATTTCCACTTAATTCCTTGCCGCCGCCAGGCCCACCGCCACCAATTCTTACAAGAAAAGCCTTTAAAAGAATCTTTTAAAAATATTCATTTAATTAATTAAAAACTTGATTAGCCAATTTTCTACGCCAAATAGCTTCTCCAGCATTTCGTCGCCCTTTAGATGGTTTTCCACTTCCTTTACTTGAACGTTGATCTAACAGGCTTGGTTTTGATTCGAGGAAAGAGAATTCCCTTAAATTAATTAATTAATTGTTTTTAATTGTTTATAAAATATAAATATTACATCTTCCCCCCCCCCCCTTCCCTTCTATTCATTTTTTTACTTTAAAATAAATTATATTTTTCTTCTAATATTTTAATAAATCAAAAATTATTTTTTTATTTTTTTATTAATTTAAATAAATTAAAATATTTATTTTTAACAAAAAATAATTATTCTCTCTCTCTAAACTTTCCATACAAAAAAAGTCATAAGATAATCACATGTTTAGACTTAAAATATCGCTATTATATGTTTATTTTTTTATTCTCTTTTATTTTTCTTTCAAAAAAACCAGAAATAATGTATTATTTACTAAATTTCTTTTGAATTTTTTGTCTAAATTTTATATAGAATTTTTGTTCTTTAAATTTTTAATAGTTGAATGGAAAAAATAAATAAAAGATTATTTTATTTAAAAAAATTTTTTTTAAAAAGAGAAAAAGCATTTTCTCTTTTAAAATTCGATAAAATAAAATATTAAAAAGATTAAATGCTCCCTAGAGGGAATAAAAGTCAGACTAAGAGATTCCATTTTGAGACAAGGAAGTAATAAAAAAGACTTTGTTTAATATAAAATTATTTAAAAATTTAGAATTTAATTTTTATTTAATCCTTATTTTATTTAAAAAATAAATTTATTTATTTGTCTACCTCCCCTCAATTCTCTAAATTTATTTAAAATATTTTTGTAGAACTAACAAAAAAGGGCAACTAAACAAAACACACAAAATTTTTATTTGTTAATAAAGTTGCTAAAAAATATTTATTTTAAATATTTTCCCTGAAAAATAAATAAAGAAAATATTTAAATAAAAATAGAAACAAAAAAATCCCAGGAAGAAATAGAAGAAATTAATTTAAGACTAAAAACTAAAAATATTTCTGAAAAAGAAACACGAGATTGGCCAAAGAATATGTGTATTTACATATTTGGCTAATTAGTAGAAAAAAAAAGAAAAGAAAACTTAAAAAATATTTAAATATATTTTTATTTTTTTAAATTATTTATTAAAATTGGCTAAAAAATAAATTTAAATAAATAGGTAAAATTTAGGAAAGAAAATTTATAAAAAAATTATATTATGTAAATTAATTATTATTTATGTATAATTTTCTTTATTTATTTCCATTTATTTATTTATAAAACAATTTTATTTTTTAGTTTTATTTTTATCAAATTTAAAAATCTTAAAAAGTAAAAAAATATAATTTTTTACCCTTCATTATTGGCCAAGTCAGTCACACGGTTCGAGGCCAAAGTAGTAACCGAAGAATCAGTAAAGGCAGGCGAAGAGCGGGGAAAGCAGAACGCCGTAGGCGAACAAGTATTTGAAGAAGACATAATTTCAGGTGGCGGTGATTGAAGCGGCGATTGGAGAAAAAGTAGAGGAGAGAAACTGAGCGGCTGACGCTGAGTGAAAAGAGAAGATTTTTCTAAAAATTTAAAAATTTTAAAAATAAAGAGAGAAAATATTTAAAAATAAAATAAAAATTGTTTAATAAATACTAACAATAAATCAAATAAAAAATTTAAAAGTAATAAAACGCCTAATAGGACATTCATTTCGCGCATGTGGAGAGAAAAACAGATGGTTTTAAATTTAAAAAAAGAGAAGGAAGATTTAAAAGTACATACAAACAAAATAAATTAAATATTTTTATTAATTCCTCACCATTATTTAAGAAAAATATATTCTTCTCCATCCCGTAATTTTCCCGTAAATAAATAAATTAATAAGAAGAGGGGGGATATATGCAAAATTAATTTTTTTTAAAATTTAATTTTCAAATCTTCCAAAAATTATTTTATATATTAGCATAATAATTTTAGAATAAATTTAAATATAAATATTTTATTTTTTATTTTATTTTTATTTAGAAAGCTTTAAATAGGGAAAAGGCCTTTATTTCCAATTTATATTTGTTGGCCATTTATATGGGAAGGAAGGGAAGGGGCGGGAAATGAATATGTATGTACATGAGAAGACCACGGGATAGAGAAAAATGCGCGTGCGAGAAGAAAAAAATAGTATACAAAAATGAATGAAAGAAAAAGAAAAAAAGAAAAAAAATAAAATCCCGAATTTTTATTAGAAAATATTTTTTAAAAATTAAAAATTAAAAATACAAAAGACATTCCCCTATTAAATACACCTTTGTTTGATAATAATAAAAGATAAAGCATTAAAGAACTTTGAAAACTCGTAACTACTAAAATTTAAAAGTAATGGAAATGTCGGGAAGTCAGCTGATCAAAAAATGGGGGCGGCACCCGACTGGAAGAGAAAAAGAAAAAAAGAATAAATAATGATGCAATAAGAATAAATTGCTGCCAAATGGAAAGGTTAAAGGTGACGAAAAAATTGGAAAAAAAAATACAAAAAATTATTTATCTGTCAGTCATTTGAGAGGGGGGAGGGGGGATGATAAATATATTTATAATTGACTGTCAATAAGAGAATAAATAAAAGAATCGGAAATTAAATTAAATTTATTGATTTTAAAATATAAAAATTCAAAAAAATGTTCGAGATAATATAAAATTTAAATCCAAAAAATTATTAACAAAAAAGTTCTTCGCATTATTCACCTTAATTTTATTTTCTTTGTAAATTGTCATAATAAACTTTAAATAAAAATACTTTTCTAAATTTATTTAAAAAATCTTTTATTAAATCTCTCCCTCTCTCTCCTCAAAATCCCTTCCCTTAAATTTTAAAATAGAGGTCGCTTTATATTTCACATTTTACTTTTTCCCGATTTTTCTTTAAATTTGTCCTTCCTTCTTGACTTTAAAAACAAATGTCCCTCTCCCGTTCTTTAAATAAGCTAATAAATAAATTTAAAGAAAAAAATTATTTCAGAGAAAAATAGTAAAAAAAGTAGTAATCAGCTTTAGAGAAATATATATTTATATGTTTAATCATTCATTTTCTCCTTTTTTTTTCTCAATATGTGTGTGGCAATAAATTTAAAGGAGGTATAAGACGGTAAAGAATAAACAAACACAAAAACAAGAAAAATATTTTTGTTTGTAAAAATATTTATTTACAAAAATTGATTTTAAAAATAAAATATTAATGATGATATGATCATCTCTGTATATAAATTTATTGAGAGAATTAGCCATTTTGTCATAAAATTTCACGACTTCCCAAGATTGCCGAGAATTTTATTTTATAAAAATATATTCTCGAATAAACTAAAAATTATTTTTATTTAATTTTTTTCACTAATTATAAATTTTCTTCTTTTAAAAGAAAATCCTCAAACAATCAACCGCCAAATCCAGTAAATTGATGTGGGAGAAAGTGAGGTATTGAATACGGAAATATGTAGTACTACTAGAATGGCTGACCGTGCCAGCCAGCCAACCCCTCACCTACTCCCTCACAAAAATATATTTATTTATTTATAGCCTCAGGCAGTCCCCCACTCCCCCACTCTAAAAACACATTTACTTACTCAATTTGCGCTCTAGCGGCATAATCTTTTAGAAAGCCTTATTTGGGGGGGGGGGGGGTATTTGTTATGGGTTTGTGTGTGTGTGCCTTTGTTTTCTCCACTATACATAAATAGCCTCTCATTTGTTAGCCCTCACATAAATTCACAGTTTGAATTCACACAAAATATGGTTATATACATATAGTGTTTATGACATATTTATTGTGAGGTAAAAAATATACCCCTATATACTAATTTTAATTCTAAACAATCCAAATAAAGCTGTTTTCTATAAAAATATTAAAAATGTTTTTATTGGATTAAAATTGAATGAGTGGCACACAGCAATTATTTCCAAATTTGGTGTGCGCGAAAATTGTTCATTCATGTGTGTATTTGAATGAAAATTATTGAGAAAATGTTGAAATTGAGGTTAGTAGATAGTTGAAAAAAGAAAGAAAATTGAAAATAAATTATTTTAAAATGAAAAAAAAAAGTTGAGATAAAAATAAATAATTATTTTAAAAGAAAACTAAAATAGTAGAGAAAAAGAAGAATAAACAAAATTTAAAAGAGAATATTTATTTTTGATTTAAAATATGTAGTGTTATCATAAATAATAATTATCTAGATAATTTTATCAATAAATAAATAAAAATAATATCTACATATTTCTTTACTTTCAACTAAACTAGTTAATTTTTTCTATCTAAATAAATATGTGTGTGTTATCTATTTGATAGAGAAATATATAAAGATATATTATTTGTTCATTAAACTATATAATTTCTTTACACATTTATTTGAACGGATTTATTGTCCTTTGACCTCTTTTTTTCTCTTATTTTTTTCTTTTCAATCATTTAATATTTTAGTTTATTTCCTCTAACTTTATCCGGGGATTGGAGACAGAAGAAATATATAATTGACAAGGATTACTTTCCCAGCTGTTAAATAAAAGAATTTTTAGGTTGGAAGGGAGGGGGAAGGAAGGGTTAGAAATAAAGAGATATAAATTGTAGTAAAAAAATTAAAGAAAAAAGTAAAAAACAATTAAAAATTAATGTTTAAATATATTTTAAACAAAAAAGTAAGTCTCTTTTAGTACATATGTTAGATTTTTTTGTGGAATGTAGCCAGCATGGTACCTACATCATTTTAGTTCGCATGTTTCAAAGAATCAAATTTTAATATTATTTAAAATATTTAAAATATTTATTTATTGAAACTACGAATTTTTCGGGACAGAACAGAAATTTTTGGTTCAGATCATACTAATGGCAAGAATCTCACTGAAACTTTTAGCAAAATCTTTCCTTACCATCCCCGTACTTTTCTTTTGCTTAAAACAATTCTGATTTCTTGGAGCGTTGCCTTCTAGCAATAATTAATTTTTATTTTTTATATATTAAATAAACTAGCGTATACTGTATTTACTATATTTGAAAATATTCCCTCAACAAACAAATAATTGCTTTTTTCCTCAACAAATATTCACAATAAAACTGTCTGGGTAAAAGAAACTTCAATATATGAAATTTTATTCATTTACTTTATCATTTTTCTCCACAAAATTATATTTTTGATTAAGAAAAATTTTTAAATTAATTATTTTTTTGTACATTTAACTCAGTTATCCATTTAATTTATTTAAATCAAATGCCGCTCAATAGGTTTTATTTTACGGGCCCAAATTTTTCACACGCAGAGCTGAGTACCTATTGCCACAGATTTGAGGGAAAATTAAAAAAGGGGTCATACACAGTTCGCAATTCGTACTTTTTTAAAAATTTTTCAATTTAATATATACTTTAATACCTAAGAATTTTTAGATTTAATTAAAATTTTCTACAAAATGGCTGAAGAAGGATTAAATTCTGATTTGGAATTAAAAGTAAAATTTTTCATAAACTAATTTAAAAATATAAATTTCGCATTTTAAGCTAAATAGACGAATTGATGATTTAATAAAATTACATACAGAATTTAAAAATTTACAAATAAAATTTATTGAAGAAAACCCATTGGGGTATGGCGGTAAGTTACGTATGCAATTCCTATTAGGATACTCTGGCAGTTTAGTTTGGGGTGCCCGTTGGAAAGCCTAACGGCTTTGGGGCGCGCTTCGCGCGCTGCTAGAAACGGTAAAGATTGCCCTGCCTTTTCATTGCTTCGGGCCTTCGGCCCTCGCCGATAAAGTTTAGCCCTGTCTTTTCATCGCTTCGGGCCTTCGGCCCTCGCGATCCATTTTGGGATGAATCTTAAGCTCGGGCCTTCGGCCCTCGCGATTCGTTTTGGAGTGGATCTTAAGCTCGGGCCTCGGCCCTCGCGATCCGTTTTGGAATGGATCTTAAGCTCGGGCCTTCGGCCCTCGCGATTCGTTTTGAAGTGGATCTTAAGCTCGGGCCTTCGGCCCTCGCGATCCATTTTGGGATAGATCTTAAGCTCGGGCTTTCGGCCCTCGCGATCCATTTTGGGATGGATCTTAAGCTCGGGCCTTCGGCCCTCGCAATTCGTTTTGGGATGGTCTTCAGCTCGGGCCTTCGGCCCTCGCAATTCGTTTTGGGATGGGTCTTCAGCTCGGGCCTTCGGCCCTCGCAATTCGTTTTGGGATGGGTCTTCAGCTCGGGCCTTCGGCCCTCGCAATTCGTTTTGGGATGGGTCTTCAGCTCGGGCCTTCGGCCCTCGCCGGTAAAGTTTAGCCCTGCCTTTTCATCGCTTCGGGCCTTCGGCCCTCGCGACTCTTTTTGGAATGGGTCTTAAACTCGGGCCTTCGGCCCTCGCGATTCGTTTTGGGATGGGTCTTAAGCTCGGGCCTTCGGCCCTCCCACGGTGGGCCTCCGGCCCGCCGTTTGGGGGCCTTCGGCCCCCAAACAACCTACACCCAAAATTTCGACCTTTTGTAACTTTGTACAAAATGGTCAGAAAATTCCAGAAAAAATATTTTCGTGCTCAGCTCGATGAGAGCTTTCGAATGATATAACATTTGCCCTATTTTATGTCATTTTGTAAAAAATAAAATTTTGGTCGAAAATTTTGACCGAATAATTTGCGCCATTTTTCAAAAATTCATAACTAACCAAATATAAACCCTTTCAATACATTTTAAAAGCTTAATATATAGTAAAAATTATGCTCTATTTTATAAAAATATATTCAACCACCCTCAGCCTCGATATACCCCACAAAATTTTAAAAAACCGAAAAATTTTGAATTTTCAAAAAATCGGCCCTAACAGGCCTCGGGTGAAATTTTTAAAAAATTTAAATAGCTCAAAAAATTTGTAATTTTTTGCTCTATTTTATAATCTTTAATTCGTTTGGCTACGGCAAAAACTTACAAAGTTATGCCCAATTTAAATTTCACCAAAAATTTTCAAAAGGGGTACCCCTTCAAAAATGGGTCAAAAATTCGACCTCGAGAAAAATATGTTTTATGGTGATCCAATATGTGATGAACACGAATCTGAAGTCCGTTTATTTTTAAAAATTTTTTAAAAAAAGTTATACTCAAAAAACCGACCACTTTTGGCCCCAAAAATGCCACTTTTTGCCCTATATCTTTCTGAGACTCAAGTGTACCCCCAACAAAGTATATATTTTTAGAGGTTTCAAGGGACGCTCTACAAGATAGGATACTCAAATCGAGTTTCAATTCACGCGTTAAAAAGTCGGTTTTGGCGAGGTCGCTTTGGTGCCCATAACTATGTCAGGAAAAAATCCCAGATTCAAGTGTCTCCCAACAAAATTGTAGTACATTTAGTGCCCTATTATACCAAAAAAGAGTTGAAACCATTTGCCCTCTCTTAAGCAATTTTATAATTACATTCGATGGGAGCCACCCTTCACGGTAGGGGTTCTGGACATTTTGGACCTTTGGCGTTCTATAACTTTGCCCAAAATGGTCAGAAAAAATTAAACCAATTTTTTCCAGAACCTACTCATGGAGCTCTATCGAATGGCATATAGTTTGAAAATTGTCGGTGATTTTCGTCGGACACCATGTGTCATTTTGGGACGAGATGTGCAATTTTCGCACTCGCCTACAGCCTCAGGCGTTGATCCGATCCATCCCAAATTTTTTATACGATATAGTACACATCCCAACTTGAGTGCCTCCCAGCAAGCACTTTTTGATACCACTTCACCCCTTCGCGCTATTTCCATTTGAAAAACCACCCATGGCCGTTTCAGTGCGAAAACGACGTTTCAGTGCCGTGGTCAGATTTTTCCTGAATAGAGCGCAAAAAGTTGTATCACTAAAAAAATTCCAGCCGCCGGCCTTCGGCCGGCGGAATTTTTGAAAGGGATTTTACCCCCAAAAATAGGGGCATGTTGGGGTTTTTTATATATATATATAAAAATATATATTTATTTATATGTCATATAATAATAAATCATAAGTTACCCCGCTAGTAAAAAAATGAAAAGTGACGATATTTTTTAATATAAAATTTTAAAAATCACAAGTGAAATCGAGAAATTAATTTAAATTAAAAACAAATATTTAAAAGAAAAATTAATTTAATATTTTGTGTTAGTTAGCTTGGAAAAGGGTTTACAAAAATAGTCAAAAAAATTTAAAAATTAATCCAACAGTTTTTATAGACAAAATATTATTTTAGCAAAGAATTTTGAATTTAAGGCGAAGCTCTAAAGAAAAAAATGAAAAAAAACTTGAAGATTTTAAAAATAAATATTTATTTTATTATTATTAAAATTTAAATTATTTTTAGAAATTTTCTTTAAAAAATATTTTTTTATCAATAAACTAAAACATTTTTGTTTCCGTGGAGATGGTGAAAATTTAAAGAGAAAAAGAGGAATATATTTGTCAAGAACTGCGCAAAAAAAAATAAAAAAAGTAAATGCGCATTGAAGAAAAAATAAAAGAAGCTTTTTAAATAAATAAACTAGAAAAAAGTAAAAAAAATCGTCACTGCGCCACCCACACAAAAATATATTTATTTATTTATTGTTTTAAGTAATTGATCATTAAAATTTGTTAATAAAATAGAAAAAATTATTAAAGGGAGTTTTTGTTCTTTTAAAAGAAAAATATTTTAAAGAATTTTAAAGGAAAATTTTGAAGGTTTTTGGAAGAAAAAAAACCAAAAATGGCCGCAGGAATCGATTTTTAACAAGAATTGAAATATGTATGTAGTAGTAAACTATGAAAAAGTATGGCCAAGAAAGTGAAATATATTTAAGTATGTAGACTTGGAAAACATCAAAAATGAAATAAATATAACAGAAGAGGGAGATAAGGTTAATAATACTTTAAATTTAGTTAAATAAGCATTGTTTGGAGAAAGGGGTTAACAACTTATAATCAGATGAAAAGAAATATGTATAAAAATAATATTTTAAATAAACTTTTCTTAAAATATTTTTTTCTTTATTACTTTTAGTTAAACTTAAATATAAATTTGTTGTAAAAAGTGCCAGAGAATTTTAATTCAAATTTCAAAAATGAACTAAAAAAATAAAATAAGGAAAGAAAGGAGAAAAGAAAGTGGGGGTTTTACATATATATTTGGCAAAAAAATAAGGGAGGAAAGGAAATTGGTTTTTGAAAAAAAGAAAAAAAAGAAATGGTTGGATGATTGTTTAGTTGAAATGAAATGTCATGGACAGACTGCCGGAAGGCGATGACGACAAGAGACAAGACAACGTTTCTTTTAGTATTTTATATTGCTACTTTTTAATATAGCGCAAAATAAATGTGAAAAAATAAGGATTAAAATAAATAAATAAAATATTTATTTAATTGTAATGTTTTTATTATTTGACAAATGTTAATTTTTAGTTTTTTTCTAATTAATTTGATAATTTTTTTTGTATTTTAGTTGCAAATAATTTTCATTAATTAATAAATTTTGCAGAAAAATATTTGGAGGAAAATTATAAATTTTCTGATTAGGACCTCAAATGGTTTTTGAAAGTTAAAAAATTTCAAAGAAAATTTTTCAGGTTTTTTAAATAAAATTTTGTGAATGATATGCAGATTACAAAGCCTTCAACCCTCAAAAATTTATGTGTCGATTTAATAATTGTTATTTAAAAATAAATTATATTTATATTTTTTTTTCAAGAAAATTAAATAAAAAATTTAAAAAACTTTTTTGTAACATTGGATAAATTTTAATTAAAAATAAAATTAAATTCTCGATAAACATAAATACTTCTTTAATATTTATTTAATCAAAAATTTTTTTGAAAATATTTTTAATTCGAAAAGGATAATTTTTTATAGACTGAATATTTAAAATACTATCGTCATTTCCTCCATTTATTATCGAAATATTCTTCTCATTTTTATTTATTTTAATTTCAAATGTTTCTTTTAAATCTTCTTCTTCTTCATAATTAAAATTTGTTTTTCCAATTCTTTCACTAAAAAATAAAATTTTTTATTTAATTTATTCAAATAATTTTTATAAAATTATTATAAAGAATATAGTCAACAATCTAAAGAATATCTTTAATAACGACTCTCGATATTTTGACTTTCGATTTTTAAGTTTGTTATTTAAATTAACAAAAATAAATCCAAAAATAACCTTTTAATTTCTTCCTCTTCTCTTTCAAAATTAAAATTTTTTAAATAATTCTCTTCATTTATATTTTCAGGAATTATTGTATATTCAATTTCTTCCATTTGGGCATCAAAATAATAATCACTACTATAAATACTTGACGAATTAGAAATAAATTTTTCTTTAGGGAAATTATTACAAATTAAATTATTTTCTGAATAAATTGAAATTGAAGAAAATGATGGACAAACAGAAGAATTTGGAAGTAAAAATGGAGGTTGAGGAGAAGAAAATTCTGAAAAAGGATTTGAAGAAGAAAGATAATTATTTAAATATATCTACTTTCTTCTTTTAAATCTCCTCTAAAAGAACAAACATTATTAAAATTAACAGCTAATCTATGATTTGAACAATTAATTGCTTTGGCACATAAAACTAGTTCTTGAAGTAATTCTAAATCAATCTATAAAAAATAGTATATTTTGTATCTTTCTCTTAATCCTCAAAAACACTTAAATAAGGACATTAAACTCTTCCTAATTTTGTGTCAAAAATTTGAAAAAGTAAATGGTTGGACAAAATATAATTTAAAAAAATTATTTATAACGATTGTTATTTCCTCTCCCCTCTCCCAAATTTAAATTCTTTTTTGATGTTTCCCTCTGATTCCAATCCTGGATGATTTTTTCGTTATTTTCCCCATTACCAATTGAAAAACATTAGACTAACTATAAGAGAACAGTTAATTGGGATTGGCACAAAAATTATATTCAGATAAAGAAAAGTTATGTATCAGAGAGATTTAAAAAATGATTTTTCTAAAATTTCTATCCAAATTCTTTTCCTCTCTTCAAAAAAAATAAAAACCTCAAATTCAATTTCTTCATATAATCCAATATTTGCTTTATTATAGCAAAGTAATTGAACATTATTTATACAATTTATAACATTATTAATTTCTAACTAATTTTTAAAAATATTTTTAAAATTAATTTAAAAATTACCAAAACATTTTCAACTTCAATAATTAAAAAATAATTAAAATAAAAATTATTTTCTTCAATATTTTTGTAAAAGCTAACTTTTCTAAATAAACATTTTGAAGGAAGTAATTGGCATAATTCACGTATAGCACACCAATTATACCAATCAGAAACAAAAGAATTTAATTTTATATTTTCTTTACTACATTTATAACCAAAAAATAAATGCCCTTTTTTGTTTAAAAAAATAATAATTATTTTTTAATTTTAATTTCAATTACCTCTGTAATTTTGTTCTTCTTCTTCCTCCTCTACTCCCTCTTCATCCTTATCTTCCTCATATTTTTCTTCAATTATATATTCACCCCAAATACTGCTTTGGCCTGTAAAGCTTTTTGTGATACTGCAATCTTTAAAAAATAATTAGTAAATATTTGTTACTGTAAATTTTTTAAAATATTCCCGGGGTTGTTTTATGGTATTTAAATGTAGCTATTTAATTTCTAATAAGAGAATAGGAAATTTAATTTAAATTATTTATTTACAATTTCCTCCTTCTTTATTTCCAAATTCACTTTCATCATCTTCACTTAAAAAATTAGACACCCCTTTCCATTCGACAGATTGTATTTCTTCAAAAATACAAATTTCTTTATTTTCTCGTTTTTTAATTGGAGAATTATTTGTTTCAACAAATATTGCATCAATATATTTATTTAAATTTTCTTTTTAAAAATTTATTTTTTATTTTTAAATTTATTTTAAAATAACCAGAATTTTCATTAAAAGAGGAGCAACATTTAAATCTTCTTAATTCAATTGAACGACAATTTTGTAAATTTGGGAAAACACAATTAATTGAGTCAAAAATAAAAGTATTGTTTTTATTTGAAAGTAAATTTAAAATTAAATAATTGCTTGAGGAGGAAGGTTGTTGTGGGGGCATTTTTAAAATAAAATTTAATTAAAATTAGTATTTTTTAATAAATTTTTAAGAATTCTTTTATTTTTGTCTGCAAACAACTTTAACAAATTCCTTAATGTTTTTCACTTTTGGAACCAATTTTTTTAATTTCAGAATTTTTAAGAATAAATAGACTTTATTTATTTTGTTATTTCTGTATTTGTTAAAATTTAAGGTTAATAATTTTAACAGGGATATTTTTAAAAAATTATTTTTTAACAATTTTACTCAAAAATTTTATCAAATAAAAAATGAATGAGAATAGTATTTACTAGTATTTTTTCTTTTAAAAAATATCCAAATCTTCTTTTCGCTATATCCCAAAGGACAATTAATCAAATGGCCGAACATTTTAAGTAAAAAAGTATTGAGAATATGTACATATATACTTTTATTGGAAAAAATTTAAATAAAATTATTTTTGTTGTTTTTTAAATATTAATGTAAATTAGAAAATATTTTTGTAAAAAAATTAAGAATAATCCAAATATAGCTAACTTTTGCAGGAAGGCAGCAAGTAAATTGCAGGTTTGTTAGGAAAATAAGCTTATAATTATAAAATTTGTTTTAATTTTTTTAATTACTGGAAATTAAAAGAAAATTTGTGAAATTTCTTTCAATTTTCCCCTTCAATTTGGAAAATTTGCTAGAAAATTTGTGATAAATATATAGTTTGTATTGTAGTTTTATAGTCTTTATTTTTGGATTAAATAAACATAAATATATGTAATTATTTTTATTTGATTATAATAAATAATTATGTATATATTTTTATAAACAAACTTCCCAATAATTTAATTCATTAATTATTTTTACTGATTTCTCAACTAAAATAGGTGTGCCAAACTGAGGGAATATTAATTTGTTATTACTTAAATGCCAAGAAACATTAATGTTAATAATAAAATTAGCCAAAAAAATAGCAAAAATGTTTTAATGTTTAAAGTCATAAATGTTATAAAATCTAAGGTATTTTCTCTTTTTTTTTGTAAGATTATTTTAGAAAATTTAATTGACAATAAAAATGTATTTTATGTGATTTTTTATAAATGTGCTGAAATTTTTTATAATAAAAATTTAATGTTAATTTTTAAATAATTATTTTTTTTTCGTTTTATAAAAATAATATTTAAAAAGTATTTAAGTAATGATTTAAAAGAAAAGAAAATTTTGTTTAAAAATTTCATTAAAAATTTTAAATAATTACACCATTATTTAATATAAAATGACTAACAATACAGATCAAGTAAGAGATTTAAATAAAAAAATTTATTTTAAATACCGTATATGCTTTAATAAATACCCTGGGTAATTATTGTTTCGATCACTCGCCAGAGGGAGTAATTAATAGAGGGTAATTATTTGAATGATAGTAATCAATAGAGAATATACGGTATATCAAATTTTAAAATTTATTTAAACACAAAATTTTGAAATTTAAAATTAATAAAAAATAACAAAAATTTTAATAATTTATTTAATTAAAAACAGATTTATGTCGAATTTAAAGATAAAGGAATATCTGCACCTCTAGTTTTGCTTATATCAATTAAAGTTTTTGTTTGTTTAATAGGAATAATTTTAAATGGAGATCTTGTTTTAATTACTTGGAAAACTAAGTTTTTAATTTTTTAATTTTAATTTAAAAAATAATTTAAAAAAAAAGGACTTTAAGAGGGGCTTGTAATGTTCAAATAGCATTAAATGCCTTCTCTATTTGTATTCAACAAAGCAGAAAAAAAGGGCACCTAAACAAAACACACAAAATTTTTATTTGTTAATAAAATTGCTAGAAAATATTTATTTTAAATATTTTCCCTGAAAAATAAAGAAAATATTTGAATAAAAATAGAAACAAGAAAAAATCCCAGGAAAAAATGAAAGAAATTAATTTTTGTTTTAGACTAAAAACTAGAAATATCTTTGAAAAAAGAAGCACGAGATTGGCCAAAGAATATATGTATTTACATATTTGGCTAATTAGTGGAAAGAAAAAAAGAAAATATAACTTAAATATCTAAATATATTTTCATTTTTTAAATTATTTTTACAAAAATTGTCTAAAAAATAAATTTAAATAAAATTAAAAAAAGACATTTATAAAAAATTTATTTAAATATTTATTTGATATTAAATTAATTATTATTATTCATTAAAATTATTCATTTATAATTTTCTTCATTTATTTCCATTTATTTTATTAAAAAAACAATTTTCTTTTAAATTTATTTTTATCAAATTTAAAAATCTTAAAAGGTAAAAAATAAAACTAATTATTTACCCTTCATTATTGGCCAAGTCAGTCACACGGTTCGAGGCCAAAGTAGCAACCGAAGAATCAGTAAAGGCAGGCGAAGAGCGGGGAAAGCAGAACGCCGTAGGCGAACAAGTATTTGAAGAAGACATAATTTCAGGTGGCGGTGATTGAAGCGGCGATTGGAGAAAAAGTAGAGGAGAGAAACTGAGCGGCTGACGCTGAGTGAAAAGAGAAGATTTTTCTAAAAATTTAAAAATTAAAAATAAATAATAAAGAGAGAATATTTAAAAATAAAATAAAAATTGTTTAATAAATACTAACAATAAATCAAATAAAAAAATTTTTAAAAAGTAATAAAACGCCTAATAGGACATTCGCGCATGTGGAGAGGAAAACAGATGGTTTTAAATTTAAAAAAAGAGAGAAAGAAATTTAAAAGTACACAAAAATAAATTAAATATATTTATTAATTCCTCACCATTATTTAAGAAAAATATATTCTCCATCCCGTAATTTTCCCGTATATAAATAAATAAATTAATAAGAAGAGGGGAATATGCAAAATTAAATTTTTTTAGATTTAATTTTCAAATCTTCCAAAAATTATTTTATATTAGCATAATAATTTAAAATATATTTTTTATTTTATCTTT